ACTAGAAAAAAAAATACTAAAATTCATATGGAACCAACACATAGCCAAAGCCTGACTAAGCAAAAATAACAAATCTGAAGGCATCACATTAACTGACTTCGAACTATACTACAAGGCTATTGTTACCAGAAGAGCATGGTACTAGTATAAAAATAAGCAGGTAAACCAATGGAATAGATTAGAAAACCCTGAAATAAAGCCAAATACAGACAACTGATCTTCGACAAAGCAAACAAAAACATAAAGTGAGGAAAGGACACCCTATTCAACAAATGGTGCTGGAATAATTGGCAAGCCACATGTAGAAGAATGAAGCTGGATCCTCATCTCTCACCTTATGCACAAATCAACTAAAGATGAATCAAATACTTAAATCTAAGACCTGAAACTGTAAAAATTCTATAAGATAACATTGGAAACACTCTTCTAGACATTAGCTTAGGCAAAGAGTACATGACCAAGAACCCAAAAGCAAATGCAACAAAAACAAAAACAAAAATAGATGGGACCTAATTAAACAGAAAACCTTCTGCACAGCAGAGGAAATAAACAGCAGAGTAAAAAGACAACCTGTAGAGTGGGAGAAAATATTCACAAACTATGTATCTGACAAGGGACTAATATCCAGAATCTACAAGGAACTTATACAAATCAGCAAAAAATAATAATAATAATAATAATCCCATCAAGAAGTGGGCAAAGGACATGAACAGACAGTTCTCAAAAGAAGGTATACAAATGGCCAACCAGCAGATGAAAAAATACTTAACATCACTAATTATCAGGGAAATGTAAATTAAAACCACAATGAGATACCACCTTACTCCTGCAAGAATAACCATAATTAAAAAATTGAAAAATAACAGATGACAGTATTGATATGATGAAAATGGAACACTTTTACATGGCTGAGGGGAATTTGAACTAGTACAACCACTATGGGAAACAGTACGGAGATTCAAAGTAGAACTACTATTTGATCCAGCAATCCTATATATATACAGCATTCCTGTATGTATCATGGAATACTACACAACCATAAAAATGAATGAAATAATGGCATTCACAGCAACCTGAATGGAGTTGGAGACCATTATTCTAAGTGAAATAACTCAAGAATGGAAAACCAAGCACCATATATGCTCACTTATAAGTGGGAGCTAAGCTATGAGGATGTAAAGGCATAAGAATGATATAATGGACTTTGAGGACTTGGGGGGAAGAGTGGAAGTGGTGTGAGGGATAAAAGACTACACATTGGGCACAGTGTACACTGCTCACTGCTCAGATGATAGGTGCACCAAAATCTCAGAATCACCACTAAAGAACTTTTCCATGCAACCAAACACCACCTTCTCCCCCAAAACTATTGACATGAAAACAAAAAGCCTAAACAACAACAAAATACCCTCACTTTTTTATTTTTTATTTTATTTTATTTTTTTTGAGACAGAATCTCACTCTGTCACACAGGCTGGAGTGTCACTGCGCAATCTCGGCTCACTGCAACCTCCACCTCCTGGGTTCAAGTGATTCTCCTGCCTCAGCCTCCTGAGTAGCTGGGATTACAGTTGTGCACCACCATGCCAGTCTAATTTTTGTATTTTTAGTAGAGGCAAGGTTTCACCATGTTGGTCAGGCTGGTCTCGAACTCCTGATTTTGTGATCCACCCGCCTTGGCCTCCCAAAGTGCTGGGATAACAAGCATAAGCCACCACACCCGGCCCTTCATGTATTTTTGAGGGCATAATTCAATCCACAGTAGAAGGCATCAAGAAGGAGGAACTTGTAAACAGTGTAATATTCCATTAAAAGGGCAAGTATATAAGGACTGGGAAATGTCTGTTGTGTTTGGTAACAGTGGGGCCATTAGGACTTTAAGAAAACTGATTTGAATGGAGTAGTTTACTACTGGGGCACCAAGAACACTATGACAGTCTGTACTTGGCAGAGCTCAATCTAATGAAGAAACCAAGCAAAGAGTTAGCGAAAGGCATCACACTTTGCATTTGAGAGTCATAGAAAGCTTCCTGGAAGAGGCGACAATGGAAATAGGTTTTAAAGCAAAAATAAGTCATTCAAAAGGGAGGGGGAAGCATACGAACCTAGAAGAACAGGGTAGTCAAAGGCAAAAAGGATGGAGAACCCAGGCATGGTGGCTCACACCTGTAATTCTAGCACTTTGGGAAGCCAAGGCAGGCAGATTGCTTGAATTCAAGAGTTCAAGACCAGCCAAGCCAAAATGGTAAAACCCTGTCTCTACAAAAAATACGAAAACTAGCCAGGGGTGATGGCACACACTTGTGAACCCAGGTACTCTGGAAGCTGAGGTAAGAGAATGACTTGAGCCCGGCAGGAATAGGTTGTAATGAGCCAAGATTGCACCCCTGCACTCCAGCCTGGGCAACAGAGCAAGACCCTGTCTGAAAAAAAAAAAAAAAAAAAGGAGGAGGGACAGATAAACCACAGTTTGTGAAGAGCCATAAAATAATTCAGCATGACTAAAGAGTAGAGAGAGGAGTTAGTAGAGAGCAGAAGGTAAGGTAGAAAAAGATTAATCCAGAGAAGGCATGAGCAACCAGGATTCAAATGCAGGACTTAAGAATTCTGCCTTCCCACTGCTATGCTTCTCAGCATTTCTTAGTCCTGGCCCAATTTAGGAAACCATTTTATGCGGGTCCCATTAGGTTCAGCTTTTAGTTGCTAGAAAAGCGTGGACTGACATATGCCACAAAGCCGTCAGAAAATGACTTTCTGTCAACATTCATCTCCACTCCATGCTCCCCACCCCCGCAACATTAACAAGAAAATGAGAACGCCTGCCCAGCTGTCCTGTTGGATGTCACTGGGTAAATTATCTTTTATTAAGAATCTGTAATTGTTCTTCACTGAGCTGTGACCTAAATTTAGCGGTGCTGAAGAGTGAGCCCCAGCCAACAGGATTTCCCTGAGAACACGATGAAGTTCCTGTATCAATTCGATTCATTAACTAGAAAGAGAGAACAAGCAGCCAGCTTTTTTTTTTTCTGCCCCCATTCTTTAGTGAATCATTTGTTAGTTTGACCAGAATTTTTCTGGGATCCAGTCTACGATTCTGTAAGAAAAAGAGACAGCAAAACTCATTCAAATACTTCTTGTGACATTAATTCCGAGGCAGAAACCAAATTACATTAAGTGGATCTGATTGTCTTGCTATTAAAGACCTTGGATTTACTCACTGAGTATTTTCAGCCTGAGGAGAAGAAATGCTCTCAATCTGGGTAGGGTGTTTGGTGACTTGGAATAAAATGAATAAGAGCCAACTTGACTCACAAGTGGATTTAAAAACAGGAAGAAAGTGAGAGAAAGAAAAAAAAAGAAAAAGGCAAATACAATACAAACCTAGTACAAGCTTCCAGTGAAAATTCGCAAGTTGTAGTTGTAATAAAGCTTATAAGAAGGAAGAGAACCAACATAAATGCTTCATATGTCTAAGAATGCCTTTAATTATGACAGCCCAGTTGAGGTCCAGAGAGGTCAAGTAATTTAGCTAAGGACACAGTTTCTAGAGAACTGAATCAAAATGTCAAGCTACATCTTCTGACTTAAAGTCCAATGTTCCTTTACCCTAACAGTAATTTTTGAATTTTGACAGTGTGAACTGCTGACCAGTGATCAATAATATCTTGGAATCTCATAGGCTGATACCTGCATAGGTAGAAAGCAAACAGCCCTCAACTCGAGTATCATTCCTCATTTTTTGACAGCTAATCCCCAAAAAAGAATCATTTCATGGCTCCATCTCCTGCTTCCCTGGCCAGAACCACATGATGGTTCAGGTTTTACTGTTTAGGCATTTCATGCATCCTTATGTGAGAAGTACAAAAGCACCCGGAATAGAGAGGACAGTCTACAACATACCCTCCTGAAGCTCAGTCTTTAGTCAGGAGGCTGAGACGTACACATTCTGATATTAATGTATAGTGACAGCATGCTTTCACTGATAGCATCTCAGTGGAGTCTCACAGCAAATTTGTAAGGTAGTCTGAACAGGTGATATTATCCCTATTGTGTAAGTGAAGAAACTGAGGTTTAATGGGTTGAGTCACTGGCCCAAGGTCACAAAGATAGTGAGTGGCAGAACCTAATGTGAAGCCCAAAGTATGTGGCTCTGCACTAGTATTTCTCACAGCCCACTGTAATGACTGTCAGGTTGCTTTTAAGATTATGAAAGTCCTATATTGAATTATGATTCAGATTGAGACCTTGGAGTCTGAAGATGGAACTACTTGGGAAGAAGCATCACAGTATCCTAGAAGAGTCTCCCTCCATGAAGCACATTTGGGGTCTCATTCCATTTCTGTACTTACATTACTGGACCATGTTAGACAAGTCATTTAACGCATTTGGACCCCAGCTTCCAAATCTATACAAAGGAAGGTATAATTGGAGAGAGTATAAAGCCTTTATTGCCCACTTCACTTGAGAGTTTTTCAGAGCAGTCAATGAGACTTTAGAAATAAAAGTGGATTTAAAGCATAAAGTGCTTTATAAACCCCAGCATTGCCTTAAACCCTGAGATTGCTTGATGGACCATTGGGTGTATTCACAGGCACTGCCCCAATTGACCCTTACAACAACTCTAGAAATGGCAGGCATTAAATCTTCCCAATCCATAGATGAGGCAACTACAAAGTGTTATTTTTAATCCTCATTTTTTTTTTTTTTTTTTTTTGAGACGGAGTCTCGCTGTATCGCCCAGGCTGGAGTGCAGTGGCCGGATCTCAGCTCACTGCAAGCTCCGCCTCCCGGGTTTTTACGCCATTCTCCTGCCTCAGCCTCCCGAGTAGCTGGGACTACAGGCACCCACCACCTCGCCCGGCTAGTTTTTTGTATTTTTTAGTAGAGACGGGGTTTCACCGTGTTAGCCAGGATGGTCTCGAACTCCTGACCTCGTGATCCGCCCGTCTCGGCCTCCCAAAGTGCTGGGATTACAGGCTTGAGCCACCGCGCCCGGCCTAATCCTCATTTTTTAAGGAGAAAAACTGAGCTTGAGCACATTAAAAAAATTTTGCCCAAAGTCAATATGGTATATCTGGACCTTGGAATTGGAGAAAAATCTTCTGTCACAAGAGCAGGAGCCACAAACCCAAATACTTTTAGGGTTATGTTACCAATTGTGGAACACATGTGCACGAAATGAGCTGAATAAGATGCCAAATGGCCTGGTATTGGAGAGGCAATAGGGAGTGGTGGGGCCTGTAGCAAATTGGAGGGAACATGTCTCAATTAAAAGAGAGTGGCAGCAACTCAACTCCAGCCAATTGTTACCATATAATATTAAGTCCAGGGATTTTAGAACTTCTAGCGAGAAAAATAGAGACTAGATATGTATATTCTTGTTAAAAATTGCCTCAATTAGAAGATATTGGCAAGTAATTCTTGCCAAGACATTTTTGTATTATCACTATACTGGTCCACATAACAAGGGGACAGTTTGCTTCCTGCTCTCACAAAGTGTTTCGGATTAAGTTATGACCACTTAAGTATGCAAAGACAAAACAGTGTATCAGTAATGCAGTGTTTGTGAGCGTGTACTTCAGAAACAAATGATCTGGGTTCAAATCCTAGTGTTGATATTAGGTAGCTTAATAACCTTGGACAAGTCACTTGACTTCTCTATACCTCAGTTTCCCTATCTGTAAAATGGAAGTAATAAGAGTACTTACCTCTTTCAGTGGTTGTGACTATCAAATGAATTGACGTAGGTAAAATACTTAGAACAGTTCCTGACACACAGTAAGAGTCATGTAAACACCAACACTTATGAAAGCTCTTATCCCAGGATAAGCATCTCCTAGAAAACATCTTTGTCCATGTACCAGCTTAATCATATTTATTCTGCAGTTGATGTTTATACCACATGTTCTTTCTGGGTAGAGGAGCCTGAAGTTATTCTGTTTATCCTGACCTTGGAAAACACAGAGCAGCTCATGTCCCCAGGGATCTAAAAATTTCACTGGGATTGATCACCCGTGTCCCCAAATCCTCGGCCAGCGTTTCTCTATTCACAGCTGCACTGAAGAGCTTCCTTCCTGGCTTGTGTCTCCAAAAGGGGATACGATGGCAAGGTCTGTAAGAGGAAGGAAAGGGGACCTTTTTAATTAGCTTTCTCTTTTGAATGACGCCATCACAGATCTGATTCATTTCCATGAATTGAAAAAAAAAAAAAAAAAAAGCAGGGTAGGTGGTAAGCACTCTGTAAGGAATGAATGAAACTGTCAGGAGAGCACAGATTAGAGGAAAGCTGAAGTTGGAGAAAACAGCCATGTGAACTTGGCCATCCACCATGACCCACGTTTAGGCCAGGAGATGATGTCGAAATCTAAATTTAAAATGGAGGTGGCAAAAGGTTTGCTTCCACGGTTGGCAAGGAGAGGCCAAAAGACAGATGGAAATGTTGGTCTGATTCTCAGTGTTGTAGAACGTACCAAATGGGCTATCATGAAAGGGTCTCCTGTTTGCAGATCTATTTCTCTGATATTCCACAGGAAGATTTTCTGCCTTCATGTCACATTATGGGGGGGGGGGGGGGGGGGTGTGTGTGTGTGCGCACATAATACATTTACATGAAAGTTCACAAGCCTGAGGCAGCCTACTAATTGAATGGCATGGTCTTTCCTGCAGACATTTACTCGATGACAAACCAATGTGCCTTTTTGGAGACTGAAGAACAGGACTCAGATCTATGGAATCTGGAGACAGCACCATTTCTCCAGTAGTTTTCGTGTTGTAGGCTCAGTATTAATGTCCTTACTACATTACCTCATCTTTCCTCATGTCAGTCCTTGGAAGTAAATATTAATTCTACATGATAGACGGAGAAACAGGCCCATAGAAGTCTACTAACTTGCCATAGCTACATAGCTAGTGAGTGGGATTTTAGTTAGTTCTGACTTCTTCAAAAGCCTATGCTCTTTTTACTGCCCCCATGCGACCTTCAAAAGAATGACTTGATAAACAAGAGGTTTTTGCAAACAAGACCATTAACCATTCTCCAAACCATTACTTCCCTCCATGCCACTGAGTTTCTTTACTTCTGCTGGGAAACTTCTACTGTCATTTTAAGACCTAATTTAAAAACCCTGTCCTCAGTGAAGGTTTCACTGACTTACCATTCCCTCAGCCAGATACCATCTTTGTCATTTCTGGAATGTCACAGCCCATAGTATAGGGCTCAGCTATGTCAGTGATTATACCAAATAATGTGTAGGAATGGCTTTCTGAAATTTGATGAACCTCATTATGTCTAGACCAAGTCATGCTCATCATCGACGTCCCGTCTAGTGCCTGACTCATGGTGTCAACAAACCTATCTTGTATGTATGTATTTGTAGAAGGAAGAAGGAAGGAAGGAAAAATGAAAGGAAGGGAGGGAGGGAGAGAGGCAGCAGGCATACAGATATGGTTTCATTTTCATAAGCAAAAGAGACTTAAGTAAGAATCATTACTCTTTTTACTGAAGTAAAAAGTCTTTTAGATTTTGATTCAACAAATTGATTCCTGGCCTAGGCTCCACTACTATATAATGGCTCATACAGAGCATGTATGTATGTATGTATGTATGTATGTATGTATGTATGGACCTCAGTTTCCCTCAACTGACCAGAGTACATTGCTTGTCTCCAAATGTTCATTAAATATCCTGCAAAGCCTTGCACTCATCAGTTCTGCTAACATTTTATTGTATTCTGGCTAAAGTTAACTCAACTCTGGCAGCAAGAAAACCAACTCAGATGGGAGCAGATGGCTTTCATATACGTTATTTGCTCTGTTGTCAGTTTGTATTTTTGCTGTTTGTATTTGTTTAGTCCTAAAGCCTTCCCCAACCCCACTTGAAAAAAAAATGTTTCTGTCTGGGCCAACAGGTGTCACTGTTGAGCAATATAAATATGCCCCCCACACCCCCAACTTTTTGGTGCTGAAAACCCTGGCTGCTTACAAGACGCACCCTCTGCTCAGTCCTGATATTATCGAGTGAGTGATATCTATAGTCATTGTGTCAGTTGCCTGAGCAGACCTCCAAGGAGCATCAGTATATATTTTTCTTAATGATCTAATTTCTCAATGCAACTGTAGACCTTACTACCCAGAAAAGAGGCAACAAGGAAGAAGAAACTATAACTATTTCCATTTGCAAGAGGCAGCATTAGTGGAGGATCTTTGTTGCTCCGTTTAGAATGTCTAAGCTTTGGTGCTTGCACTATCCCAACCAGTTGCCACTGGTATAATTGGCTCAAGCCAGAGGAACCCCCAGAGCAAGTTGGCACAGGAGTGAGAAAGCTTGCAGATCACCAAAAAGACCAGATGATTGGTTTAGGCCACAGATCTTCCAGGACACCCAGAGTTATTCAGGAAGAATTTAAGGGGAATGTATTCACAGAAAACAGGTGGGGATGGAGCAAAAGCAATGTGTCAATTGCTACCTGTTTATTACTCTCAGGCTGATGTGGCCGGGGAGATGTGGAATTGTGTAGAATGGAATGGGATGGAATATGAAATGGTATAGAATACACTATAGGAATGCAAACAGAATGAAATCAAATGAAATGGACCAGAACAGACCAGGACATAAAACAGATTATTGTGTCAAAATGATGAAATGAAATACAGAATGCAATAGAATTAGATGGACTTTTTCATTAAATGCTTTGAGACATATAGAGATGTGTTTAATTGGCTTGAAAGTGATTAGCAAATTCAGGAAATTGTCATGATATTTCCAGGCCAGATGATTTAGCTACATAGGGACCTGAAAGACTGGTGGTTTTCTTGAGTTATTCTACTTTAAAATTAGCACAAGTGGTCACCTGTCATAGCCCACAACTGGCACTCCGTTGTCACAACCAACATTTATTGCCTCTTTGCTGGAGCCTTTGTATGTATTATTTCATTCAATTATTCTATCAGTCAAATGGCAGAGGTCCTATTTTGATCTCCATTTTATAGATGGGGAAATAGAGCCACCAAAAGGTTAAGATACTTGCCCAAGACCACACAGCTGGAAAGCAGTGGAATCAGAATTCAACATCAGGCAGTTTGGCTTGAGCTCCTACATGCTAAATCACCACACACACTGCCTCTCATCATGCCAGGGGCTCATAGCCTATGACACTTAAATGAAGAAATATTAAGATCTGCATATTCTGTTTCAGCCACAAAATATTACCTGCAAAAAGGCTGGAAAGCTTGGCAGAAGCACTGCTCTGATACAGAAATGATAAAACAGCAGCACTTAACTCTACTGCCATACTCAACACAACCAACACCACACCGGGTCCCTTCTATTTTTAAACAAGGTTTCACTGGGGGCTTCCCTGATCCTATTAAACATTCCTAATCCTGATACTCATTTGCTCAGCAAACATCTCCTAAGGGTCTGCAGTGAGTGCAGGCAGTTCATTTACTCATGTAACATTTGAACACCTATTCTTTCTCCTTAGATTTATTTTTTTTCCTCTTTTCTTTTTTTTGAGATGGATTTTCACTCTGTCACTCAGACTGGAGTGCAATGGCGCGATCGCAGCTCATTGCACCCTCCTCCTCCTGGGTTCAAGTGATTCTCCTGCCTCAGCCTCCTGAGTAGCTGGGACTACAGCCATGCACCACCATGCCCAGCTAATTTTTGTATTTTTAGTAGAGATGGGATTTGCCATATTGACCAGGCTAGTCTTGAACTTCTGACTTCAGGTGATCCAGCTGCCTCGGCCTCCCAAAGTGCTGGGATTACAGGCGTGAGCCACTGCACCCGGCCCTCCCCTTAGGTTTCTAAGAAAGTGGATTCAGTTATTGTAAAAAGATTCTCAGCAATAATTTTTAAAAAGACAATGCGAGAAAAATATAGAATTAAAATGCCCATTTTTTAAAATGCCTCACTGAGGCTACTGATAGCTGCCTTCGTTAAGTGTTTACTACTTGAGAGAGGCTGTACAGTCTGCTCACTGAGAGAGACTGCCTGAGCTCAAACCCTGGCTCTAACACTAAATAGCCTTGTCTCCTTGTGTGAGCTACTAATGCACTCTGAACCTCAGTTTCCTCATCTATTAGATGGGGATAATAGTATAGCTTGAAAGATAAAACAAGTTAATGTAGCTGAAGCACTTTACAGCTTGATACAAATTAAGAATTTCATAATATCAGTTATTATTATTTTCCAGGCCTTGCATCATGTACTTAGCAGGCACTATCTCTCTTTTTTTTTTTTTAACACTGAGTAACATGGAGTTTTCAAAAAATAAACTTATTTTTAGAGAATATTTAGATTCACAGCAAAAATTGATCAGAAGTTACAGTATTCCAAAATAACCCCTGCCTCCATTCATGCATAGCCTCCCCCATTCTCAACAATCCCCTACCAGAGTGGTGCATTGGTTACAGTCAATGAATCTATATTGACACATCATTATCACCCAAAAGTCCATGGTTTACGTTAAGTTCCACTCTTGTTGTACACTCTGTGGGTTTGGACAAATGTGTAACGATATGTACCCTTATTATAGTAGCATACAGAATAGTTTCACTGCCATGAAAATCCTGGTGTGCTCCATGTGTTTATCCCTCTCTCTCCCCAAGCACTAGCAATCCCTGATCTTTTTTACTGTCTCTATAGTTTTGCTTTTTTAAGATTGTAACATAGTTGGAATCATAGGGTGTGTAGCCTTTTCCTATTCAGATTGGCTACTTTCACTTAGTAATATGCATTTAAGGTTCTTCCATGGTTTTTCATGAGGCTTTATAGATCACTTCTTTTTTAGTGCTGTATAGTATTCCACTGTCCACCATACCACAGTTTATTTATCCATTCACCTACTAAAGGACATTTTGGTTGCTTTCGAGTTTTGGCAATTATGGTTAAAACTGCTATAAACATCCATGTGCAGGTTTTTGTTTGCACATACCTTTTCATCTCCTTTGGGCAAATGCCAAGGAGCATGATTGCTGGATTGTATGGCAAGTATATGTTTAGTTTAATAAGACAATGCCAAACTGCCCTCTAAAGTGGCTGTATCATTTTGCATCCCCACCAGCAACAAATGAGAGTTTCTGTTGCTCCACATCCTTGCCGGCATTGGT